TTCAGAGAATTGAGAAGGGACTGTTGCATACCCCTGGGGGGGCGGGTAATTTCTCACTTTCCCTTTCTGTCTCTCTCTTTCTGGCAAGCACATGTGTCCTATGACACAAATTTAAGAAAATAAAAAAGCTAAAGATTGTAAAACCCCTAACCTGACATATAAAATCAAAGAAATAATAATAGCCACACTTCAGTCTGGTGGGTAAAGATGCATGGGAGAAAACTTCTAAGCCAGCGTTTCTCACCCGACAGTGATTTTGCCCCCAGAGAACATGTGGTAAACTCTGGAGACATTATTTTTTTTCCTGTATGAGACAGAGGGGGTGGGGAATTTGCACGTATGACAGAGGCTTACCATGCAATGCCCCAGCCTCCCAGCCAGCCAGGATCACAGGTACCCATCACCACACCTAGCCTGTGAAAGCTGGACTGGGAACCAAACCTGGGCCTCCCATGCAACCTCAGCCATCACACAGGGGTGCCCCCTGCCCCCTACTCTTAACCACCACTGCTGAGCCTGGAGACATTCTGGGGTAAAATATATACTCCATAATAAAACATTTGCCATCTTAATCCATTTTTAAGTGTACAAGTCAGTGGCATTAATTAGTCACAGTGTTGCCCAACTCTCACTGCTGTTTTCACAACTTCTCCATCACCCCAAGGAGGAACTCTGTGACCACCACGCAGGCACTCCCTATTCTCCACTTGGAGACATTCCTGAATGCCATGATACTCAGGGGCAGGGATGCTCCTGGCATCTAATGAGTGGAGGCCGTGGACGCTCCTCCAATCCTATAGTGCACAAGACGGTCCCCAGGACAAAGTATCGCTCAGCCCAAAATGGCAGTAGTGGCAAGGTAGAGCAAGGCCACTCTGGTTGATCTGAGCATCCAGAACAGGAACCGATCACACCGCACAGATTCTGCTGTAACGCAGAGCAGAGATGGGCAAAATCAGGACAGCGTGAATTTGGACTCATCTACATACATGCCAGGGGCCTCGACACAGTCCTTATCAGTTCCTCCTCTGGGAAGGACTCTCCGGTGATGCACCGACTGCTACCAATAAATACTCAGGCTATAAAAGGGTGCCCAAGGCAGGGTGAGGCCAGAGCAAAAGCACGTAGGAACAAGCAGCTCTGGGCAGTGCAGAACCTCCTGGTGGGATGAGCCTCGCCCGTGAACCTCCATTCAGAAACCAGCAACAGCGGGACAACGGCATCTGAAGTACATCGCCAAAACTGTCACGCAGTACTTCCAGGAAGGGGGCCACAGGCCAGCCACACACTGATTCACATGGTAACAGAGACAACGAACTGATTCATCCACAGACACAGTAGCACTGGAGTAGGTTCTAGAGTAAGTACACAAGGAGAGTTCAAAATTATCCTAGAAATTCCTTAGGAAGCAAACATACAGGCTCGTGAAAGGTCCAAAGCAGCATTTCCTTCAGGTCTGGTGAAGCCACGCTACACAAAACTGTGTGTCCCTCACTCAGGGACAACAGGCAGAATGCCCATACTTTGAAGGATATACCGACACTCACAACCCGGGTCACACTGATGACCCGGGGACAAACACTTGTGGAGGGGAAGGACAGACATAGTTGCCTGAACTACTTCTTCCCTGCCTTTCCCCTCTCTTCTTCCCTCCGAAGCAATAGCTAGCTGAATGAGCGAAGGTGCACACGAGAGGCCTCCACAGCATTGAAGCATCTATTCCGTATAACACTGGACAATTCTGTGTGGTCAGAAAGTCGCTGGATAAAACCAGTCCCACAACTCTCCATTCAGGCTGCAAAGCCAGGATTAGGCTCAGTCATTTATCAAATTACCCTGGCTTCCTGTCAGTCCCTTCCTGTCAGGGAGTCTCGTATCTAAGCTCCTCCCAGAGTCACTTCTGAACATGCAGGTTGGAGGTGAGACCTCCTTGGTGAGGACAAACACACCTGCAGGAGGCAAACATCTAGGTCTGACCTGGCTCCAGTGCAGCCCCGCCTCGCCCTTCACATGGAATTCAAAGACCCACCAAAACATTCCCAGGTACTTCCTCTGCTCCAGTACCAGAACTATCGAACTGATTCTACCTACTCAGGAAGGAGAAGATGCAGGCTAATTTGTAAAACCTAAGTCTCAAGGACCTATACCCCCTCGGTGTCATGAACTGTCACCTCCACTTGACGGGTTGCAGAGTGTCTCTGCTGGCATAAGTCATCCTCCTTTTAAACTGCCCACCCCACTCTTTTTCCAGAAAAAGGCAGATCTGGTACTGTCTTCGTCATTTCCCTGCTTATAGAGTATGCAGCATGGAAGTTAAAAGGCCAAATCTTAAGAAACTGCTAAAAACCACCAGCTTGTTGAAACTACCAAAGTCGGGACCAGCAGATGATGTAATAGTTACATTGCTGGACTCCCATGTAGTCAAGAGTGGTTCGAGTCCTAGACCCGGAGGCTTAAAATTCAAATCAAGTGTGTGCACATGCATGTCCAAAATCCTGAGAGGAGAATGGAGAAGGGGTTGCAGTGTGGCCACCACCTTGGGGGTGATTTCTCATTTTCTGTCTCTCTATCTCTGACTCTCTGGCAAATGTACACACCCTATAGCAAAAATCTTTCTCTAAATAAATAAATAATAATAATAAATAACTACCAAAGTGCAGATCCTTCCTTGTGATAGGGAGACTGTGTGGAGAAGGAATTAAGAGCATGGGCTGCACGTGCCAGCTGGTGGCAGTGTGGTTAAGATGGCTCGATCCCACATGGCCAACTGTGTAGTTAGAGTCTGGACCCAGTGGTCTGGAAAATACGTCAGGCATGTGTGTCTGCATGCCCAAAATCCTGAGAAGAGCATGAAGGAGAAAGGACTGCAGCATGGCCATCCCCCCTGAGGGTGATTCCTCACTTTTTCTCTCTCCGTTTCTCTCTGGCAAGCGCACATACTCTGTAGCAAATTTAAAAAATGAAGAAAAAATAAAAAGGCATGGGCTCCAAAGTCAGGCAGACTTGGCCTTGAGCCCAGCTCTGTCCCACACTATGATCTGGAGCAAATTACTTAACTTTTCTGTGTCTGGTCTCTTCTTCACTGTGGCCTTCTCCCCAGGTTGGGAGGGGAAGTAAGGTAATCCAGGCGAAGGACTGAGCCCAGCAACTAACCCTTTGAAATTGCTCGAGTATATCATCATTAAATATCTTCGCCATGGTAACTCAAACAATTTTCTCTTTCTCTAGTGCATGCACAGGCATCTTCTGGCATCACTTTAAAAGATAAAGAATAGGGCTGTGCAGAAGGCTAGAGCAATCTCTCATATGTTTCTCTGCTTTTCTCAAGTTCCAAGTGCTCAAGTCCTCCTCCTAGAGGTGAGCTTTGGGAATGCACACCTACTCCACAAGTCAACCTTTTTCTGTCTTTTTAATCTTCTCATGGAACCTCCCAGTGAAATGTGCTGCATCAAAAGAACTGTCGGTGCGGGGTGGGGGTGGGTGGGTGG